ATCTATGCAGCAACCAAATCACCTGCCCTCCCAGCAGGCTCCCTCCCTGGCCCTTTCAAAGAGTATTGCAAGCCCCTCCCCTCCCCTCCCCTCCAAGAAAGTCTCGGCTTACCGTTTGATTGAAAGCCCAACCTGCTGGCTTTTATTATTTTTTTAAAAACGCCCACATCCCCACGCTGCGCTGCAACCAAGCCTGAAGTGGGGCTGCAACCAAACCTGAAGCAAGGCAGCCAGATAGGCAGCCCCACTGGTCCAATCGGAGCTTCGGCTTTCTCCAGCCATCCAATCCTTTGCCTCAGGAGGCAGGGACACCAGCAAGGTTCGGCTGTCAGCCAGGCAGTAAGTACACTAACAAATGCCTCCACAGATGATCCCTTCTTCTTCTCATTCCTTGTATGCTCTGAAATTATGTCTTTTGTAGCTTTAGCAGAGACACAGCTCTTTCTCCGGGAGGTTGTTATCTGTCCTCTCCTATCTGCTTATTGGAACATCAGGAATAGAAGCTCTGTCATATCTCTGGGTTCCTTCCTGCCTTGTTTTACTCCTGATGTGAACTCCACCAGTCTCTATAACTGTTTCTTTTGTTTTGTTTTAAATGGAATTGCTGTGGATCCATTTCCCATGTTTCAGAGATAAGCCAATCAATTCTAATTAAAAGCACAAACAAAGTCAGTTCCCTGGGGGGGGAGCATTGATGATTTAATGTGCCCTGTACAACACAGCTCAACTGCCCCTAATGAGTGTGCTTTGCATCAATCTTTTTTTCTTCTTCTCAGCAGTAAAGGAGCTTTTTACTCAACTTTTCCCTTCCTCTCCTTTTCTCTGTCTTTCTCTTGGTATTCAAAGTCAGGGCCAGGAGTGTTCAGGAACCGGAATGACAGCCCCAGGGTTCAGAATATTTTTTTCCCTGTTTTCCTCCTCTAAAAATTAGGTGCGTCTTATGGTCAGGTGCGTCTTATAGTCCGAAAAATACGGTATCTTCAAGTACTTGAAGGGCTGTCATATAGAGGATGATGTGGAGTTGTTTTCCGTTGCTCCAGAAGGTCAGATCAGAAACAATGGGTTGAAATGAAATCAGAAGAGTTTTCGGCTAAACACTAGAAAGAACTCCCTGACAGACCAGTTGCTCAGTGGAACAGGATTCCCCAAGAGCTTCCTGGTGGGCTCTTCTTTGGAGGTTTTCAAACAGAAGCTAAATAACCATCTGACAGGAATGCTGATTGTGTGAACTTAGGCAAATGATGAGAGGGAGGGCAGGAAGGGCTGCATCCAGTGCTTAATGCTTGTGGCCCTTTCTGACACACCCAAGGAAATGCTGATCACCACTTTGGGGTCAGGAAGCTATTTTTCTCCAGCCCACTTTGCCTGTGGATCGTGGAAGTTTTTTGCGGTTTTCTTGGCATGGAACAGGGGGTCATTGTGGGTGGGAGGTATTTGTGAATGTCCTGCACTGTGCCGGGGACTGGACTAGATGACCCTGGAGGTCCCTTCCAAATCTGTAATTCTATGGTTCTGAAGGCAACACTTGCAGGGCACTAAGGTTCTTTGAGTTGTGTGGCTAGCCAAACAGTGAGATACAGTCCAGGCAGCAAGGAGGGAGAAACAAGAGTTTATTCGAATAAATGGGACATCATACAGCCAACACTTCAGCCCAGATGTCCAGTGAGTAACAGCAGGGATCTGTCTTGCATAATTTTGTTGCCCCCCCCCCCAATTTTACATCACCGCTGACATAATTTACACTTTACTCAGTTTGATTTTGTTTGTTTGCAACATTCATTAATCTTACATTGACAAACAAGATTTTACTCGCCACATTTCACCTGTACAGATCTTTGATGATGCAGGTGCTTGTCTTGTTAAAAATGATATATGCATCTTATTGGCTGTTCTCCCAGACTTTCTGACCTCTGAATGACCTTACAGGCTGAGTTCTTACTGAGTACAGGATTTAACTTTTCCCATTATAATATGGTTCCTTTATATCAATACGTGCATATATGTATATAAAAAGCACTTTAATAACATTTCTGCAGGCTATTCCCACTAAAGAGGTATAAAACATGAATAAAATATGAAAAACATAGGATAATGGCATTCCAAAAAACTTAAACTCTTTTCATGCATTTTCCTTTATTTTAACCCATCAGGGGATTTTTTAAATTGAATTTTTAGAAGATATTAAATCTAAATTAAATGTTCTGGTTTTGCAAAAAGATACCATTTTGCTTTAGCCAGTAGGGGTCCTCCTTCTATATAGTATATACAAGTTCTGCACTTTTAATTGTCCTTTTGAATTGTCAAAAGATATGTGATTAATATCTTCTGTTTTTGGCTGGACTTTGAGATATCTACACACCTGGTCATGAGCTGTCGGAAGCATCTTTAGCTATGTCTTTCTATACAAACAAACAGTCTATTTACCTTAAAATAATGAGAGCTGCTGAAAAGGCACATATACTTTGCTTATATATCAGAATAAGGTTTCCAATAACTCAATATTAGTATGCTAATGTCCGGTCTTGAACAAAACTCACTCTAACAACACTCACTTGGCAGTGATTTGTTGGGAGAGAAAGAGGTTTGAAGCATAGAGAGTTCCCGTTATACATAATTCAAACAATTAATTCAAACAATTGCTCGAGTCGCCCCCCGCCGCCCCCACCGAGTGGGAAAGTTTCCTCCCCGGTGGGGGCAGCGGCGGGGGGCTCCTGGCCCCCCCTGGGGGGGGGGTGGGGCTCCTTTGGGGAGTGGGAGGGCGGTTGGAGCCTGCTCGAGTCGCCTGCTGCTGCCCCCACCGAGGGGAAAAGTTTCTCCACCGGCTGGGGGCGACGGCACACAACTCGTGCCGCTCCTTGGGCAGTGGGGCTCCTTTGGAGATGGGGGAAGGGCAGTCGGAAGCTGCTCGAGTCGCCTGCCGCCGCCCCCACCAAGGGGGAATATTTCCCCACCAGCTGGAGGCAGCAGCGGGTAACTCATGCTGCTCCTTTGGGGATGGGGGGAGGGCGGTTGGAGCCTGCTCGAGTCGCCCGCCACTGCCCCCACCCAGGGGGAAAGTTTCCCTGCCGGGTGGGGGCAACGGCGGATGACTCGTGCCCTTCCTTGTACAGTGGGGCTACTTTGGGGACGGGGGAGGACAGTCGATGCCTGCTCGAGTCGCCCGTCGCCGCCCCCAGCCAGCAGGGAAAGTGTCCTCACCGGCTGGGGGCAGTGGCGGGTGAATCGTGCCGCTTCTTGGGCAGTGGGGCTCCTTTAGGGATGGGAGGGCGGTTGGAACATGCTCGAATTGTCCGCTGCTGCCCCCACCGAGGGGGAAAGTTTCCCCGCCGGCTAGGGGTGACGGCAGACAACTCGTGCCGCTCCTTGGGCAGTGGGGCTCCTTTGGGGATGGGAGGGCGGTCGGAGCCTGCTTGAGTCACCCGCCGCAGGTGGGTGAATCGTGCCGCTTCTTGGGCAGTGGGGCTCCTTTGGGGATGGGGGGAGGGTGGTCGGAGCCTGCTCGAGTCGCCCGTCGCCACACCCAGCCAGCAAGGAAAGTTTCCCCGCCAGCTGGGGGCGGCAGCAGGAAACTTGTGCTGCTCCTTGGGCAGTGGGGCTCCTTTGGGGATGGGGGGAGGGTGGTCAGAGACTGCTCGAGTCACCTGTCGCTGCACCCAGCTAGCAGGGAAAGTTTCCCTGCCGGCTGGAGGCGGCGGCAGACAACTTGTGCTGCTCCTTGGGCAGTGGGGCTCCTTTGGGGATGGGGGAGGGTGGTTGGAGCCTGCTTCAGTTGCCTGCCACTGCCCCCACCGAGGGTGTAAGTTTCCCCGCCGGCTGGGGCGATGGCGGACGAGTTGTGCCGCTCCTTGGGCAGTGGGGCTCCTTTGGAGATAAGCGGAGGGCGACTTGTGCCACTCCTTGGGCAGTGGGGTTTCTTTGGGGATAGGTGGATGGCGGTCGGAGCGTGTAGCATGTGTGTGGGGGGGTGAGTGTTGGGCATCGTTGCTCCCTCCTGCGGGTTCCTTTTTTCCTCTCCCCCCGCATGCCCGCTCAGCAGAAGAGGGGGGGAGAGAAGAGCACCATGGGTTCAATTATAGCCCCGGGCAGGCCAGTTCTGGCCTGCAGGCTGTAAGTTTTACATCCCTGCCCCAACGCTTTATCTAAGCCACTTTATGAGCCATTGAGTACAGTGCAACTCTCTTGCCTGGGTAGAAAAGCTCTCTTGAATCATTCAGTTTTGTATCATTTGTGGAAAGCCAGGAGAGAGTGAGCCTTCCTGACTTCCTATAACAGGCCACTCCAGAAGGTGGGGACCATAGGTCATAAGATTTCAGCACATCTTTGAGGAAAAAACCCCAACCCAAATATTTAATCCTTCCAACTATCTTGAATGTACTTCAGCTGGCAGAGCCCATCCTTGTTTTCCTCCTTGTGGGATCTCGGGGCTTCAAAGATGGCTAAAATTCCTTCTATAGTTTGAGCATTTATAGCGTTTCTTCCAAGTTAGGGTAAAATGTCTATGCAGATTAATGCTTTTGACAAAAGATTATATTGTTTTGATGCTTTATGGGGTCTGTGGTTGTCTTTTAGCAGTGAAATAATAGAAGTGATTTTTCAAGGGCTAAGCGGTTGCCTGGTTTCTCCTTCGGAGGGCTCTTACATGTTTATGAAAAGTGCTACTCCAACTCAATCTCTACCCATGTTCAGAGCATTCAAAAGGTTTCTCCCCATGTGGGTGTCTTTGATGCTGCTGAAGACTCCCACTCCAACAGAATCTCTTCCCACACACTGAGCATTCAAAAGGTTTCTATCTCTGGGTTCCGAGATGACACTGAAGACTGCCACTCCGACTGAATCTCTTTCCACACGCTGAGGATTCAAAAGGTTTCTCCCCTCTGTGGGTACCTAGATGACGCTGAAGACTGCCACTATTACTGAGTCTCTTTCAACACTATGAGCACTCAAAAGGTTTCTCCCGTGTGTGTTCTTTGATGCTTCTGAAGATCGCTCCTCGTACTGACTCTCTTTCTGCACTCTGAGCGTTCAAAACGTTTCTCCCTCGTTTGGGTTCTTTGATGCCGCTGAAGACTGCTAATCTCAGTGAATCTCTTTCCACACTCTGAGCATTCAAAGGGTTTCTCCCCTGTGTGCGTTGTTCGATGCTTTTGAAGATTGCCATAAGTACTGAATCTCTTTCCACACTCTGAGCATTCAAAAGGTTTCTCCCCTGTGTGGGTTCTTTGATGACACTGAAGATTGCTACTGTGACTGAATTTCTTTCCACACTCTGAACACTGAAAAGGTTTCTCCCCCGTGTGGGTTCTTTGATGCCGCTGAAGAGTGCTACTGTCACTAAATCTCTTTCCACACTCTGAGCATTCAAAAGGTTTCTCCCCTGTGTGGGTTCTTTGATGCTTTTGAAGATGGGAACTCCGACTGAATCTCTTTCCGCACTCTGAGCATTCAAAAGGCTTCTCCCCTGTGTGGGTTCTTTGATGACTCTGAAGACCGCCACAAGAACTGAATCTCTGTCCGCACTCTGAGCATTCAAATGGTTTCTCCCCTGTGTGCGTTCTTTGATGCCTTTGAAGATTGCTTCTCGTCGTGACTCTCTTTCCGCAGTCTGAGCATTCAAAAGGTTTCTCCCCTGTGTGGGTTCTTTGATGACTCTGAAGACCGCCACAAGAACTGAATCTCTTTCCGCACTCTGAGCATTCAAATGGTTTCTCCCCTGTGTGGGTTCTTTGATGACACTGAAGAGTGCTACTGTAACCAAATTTCTTTCCACACTCTGAACACTGAAAAGGTTTCTCCCCCGTGTGGGTTCTTTGATGCCGCTGAAGAGTGCTACTGTCACTAAATCTCTTTCCACACTCTGAGCATTCAAAAGGTTTCTCCCCTGTGTGGGTTCTTTGATGCTTTTGAAGACCGTCGCTGCTACTGACTCTCTTTCCGCACTCTGAGCATTCAAAAGGCTTCTCCGCTATGTGGGTTCCCTGATGATAATGAAGAGCGCTACGCCCACTGAATCTCTTTCCGCACTCTGAGCATTCAAAAGGTTTCTCCCCTGTGTGGGTTCTTTGATGACACTGAAGACTCCTTCTGTAACCAAATTTCTTTCCACACTCTGAGCACTGAAAAGGTTTCTCCCCTGTGTGGGTTCTCTGATGCAGTTGAAGACTGTCACTCTGACTGAATCGCTTCCCACACTCTGAGCATTCAAAAGGTTTCTCCCCCGTGTGGGTTCTTTGATGCTGTTGAAGTTGGCTGCTTGTACTGAATCTCTTTCCGCACTCTGAGCATGCAAATGGTTTCTCCCCTATGTGGGTTCTCTGATGATAATGAAGACCGCTACGGCCACTGAATCTCTTTCCGCACTCTGAGCATTCAAAGGGTTTCTCCCCAGTGTGGTTTCTTTGATGACACTGAAAATCGCTACGGATACTGAATCTCTTTCCGCACTCTGAACATTCAAAGTTTTTCTCCCCAGTGTGCGTTCTTTGATGCCGCTTAAAACCCCTACTCTCACTGAATCTCTTTCCACACTTTGAGAATTCAAAACGTTTCTCCCCTGTGTGGATTCTTTCATGATATTGAAGACCGACATTGTGACTGAATCTTTGCCCACATTCTGAGCATTCAAAAGGTTTCTCCCCCTTGTGGGTTCTTAGATGATACTGTAGACTGGCATTGTGACTAAATCTCTTCCCATACTCTGAGCATTCAAAAGGTTTCTCCCCTGTGTGGATTCTCTGATGTGCTTGAAAAGAGCGACTCAGAGTGAATCTCTTTCCACACTCTGAGCATTCAAAAGGTTTCTCCCCTCCGTGGCCTCCATGATGCACTTGAAGAGAGCCACTCCGAGTGAATCTTTTTCCACACCCTGAGCATTCAAAAGGTTTCTCCCCTGTGTGCGTTCTTCGGTGCCTCTTAAGTTTGGCATTCTCACTGAATCTCTTCCCACACTCCGAACATTCAAAAGGTTTCTCCCCTCTGTGGCCTTTCTGATGGGCTTGAAGAGAGCCACTTCGAGTGAATCTGTTTCCATACTCCGAGCATTCAAAAGGTTTCTCCGCTGTGTGCGTTGTTTGATGCTTTTGAAGATTGCCGCTTGTACTGTATCTCTTTCCACACTTTGAGGTTTCAAAAGGTTTCTCTCCTTTTTGTATTCTTAGGTTCACTAGAAACTGTGACTTATATTTTATGTACTTTCCATACTGAACAGATTTACTTGTATTCGTTATATTGTACTTTGGAAACTGCACATTATGCTGTCTTCCATCTCTCTTTCTAACCAAACGGCCACCTTTATTTCCTATAGGTCTGCTTCGATTCCTGATCTTTCCTTTTAAATCTTCATTATTAACTTTATTTGGCAATTGCGGATGAAGTTCCTCACTCTTCTCATTCCACTGATTGTTCTCTGCTGGAATAAAGAGAGAGTATTTATTTACTTATTTATTTGGTTTGTTTACTGCGCTCCTGGTGAGTGACCTCAGAGCGGT